TTATCTAATTTAAAATAAAAAAATTATGATCTTAATTAATTAGTAAATTTTTTTTTTGAACGGTTTACAATGGAGACGAGGGATTTGAACCCCAGCCTTATGCCTTACAATTGGGTATAGAACCGTTCAGTTGCAAGATTTAGGTGCTAATTAACTAGTAAATTAAGTTTATAAGCTAGTGAAAAAGTGATCATAAAGAAAATTTATAAAGAGGATTGTATATTCTATAATTATTGATAGAAAAAGTCATTTAAATATTCAAGAACCAATCAAAATATCTTTCTTCATAACAAAATCTTCCAAAAATTGAATACAAACTTGTATCTTCTATGATTAAAACTTCACATATAAATAAAAATGGAGTAATGTCAGAACGTCAAATCACTTATTTATAGAGATGATGATTGATGTATTATTTTATTTAATATATTTTATAATATATTAATTAAAAAATTATTATTTTCAAATTAAAACTCAAAGTGAGAAAAATTTCACTTGTAAAATTTAATAGCAGAATCAGTAGATATTAGTAGGGGTGCAAAATTAAAGAGTGTATCAATCATTACTTTATTTATAAACATTGATTGGTATACATTTCGATTTAATACGTTGTACAATATATTTATTAAAAAATTATTAATTTTTAATATAAAATTAAAAATAAATAAATTTAAAAATACAGTCATACACTCATAATGTAATAATTGGTTAAATAAAATACACTTATATTCTATTTTTAATGGCTCAACCAAATGAATATAAAAAAATGTATCGAATCGAATGTATACTAATTATTTTTACTTATTTATATGATTATATCAATATATAAATCTCATTTGTAATGATGTATCAAATTGTCTTTAACTTGCTATAAGCATGATAAAATGATTGTATTAAGGATCTTCTAAAAATTAGCTTAGCCCCAATCAACATTTTTTAGCAAAGCAAGTTTGGATTTTATTCCTTTCCTTTGCACGTGGTACACATTTTCTACCGACCGAAGTTGTCCAAATTGTTCGACATATAATTGTTCCTTCCCTTTCATATCCTATTTTATTAGGTTAAATATCCTTTTCGGTCCCTCTACTATAGAAAAAGCCTCTTTTTAGTTCATGTACTAAAAAAATCTCCTTTTTAGTCCTTAAAGTTTAAAATCTGACCCTTTTTTAGTACCTCCGTTAAGTTTTGGTTGATGTGGTAGGTTAATTAACAGAAAAACTTATTTTTTTTCTTTACTTAAATTACGTAGAAAATCCATTTGGCAAAAGTTGATGATATGGCTAAATTTTTTATCTTTAATTACTAATTTGCCGCCATCTTTTTCCCCTTTTTTGTCTTATCCTCTCCTTCCTCTAGCTTTTTCTTCTTCTTCTTCTTCTTCTTCTTCTTTTTACCTTTGTAGATTTGCAGAAGCTGGATTCCACGAGTTCCCACGGAACCTAACTTTTGGGTTCTGCGAGGAACCCAGTTGGGTTCTGCAAGAAACCCAGAAGCTGGCAAGTGGGTTCCCACGGAACCCAACTTTTGGGTTTTGTGAGGAACCCAGTTGCTGGGTTTTGTAGAACCTAGATCTGAGTTCTATGAGGAACCCAGAAGTTGGGTTCCCATGGAACCCAACTTCTAGGTTTCACGAGAACCTAGCATTGGGTTCTACAAGAACCCAGTTACTGGGCTGGGTTCTACAAAACCCAGATTCTGCCATCCAAAAAAAAAAAAAAGAGCAATAATTTGGAATAGGGTGAAACAAAATCCAATCTTTCTTCAAAACAAATAATGCTAAAGTAATGCTCGTTCAATAAGCTAAAAACAGTACTAAAACAAAGAAGAGAGAATTTGTCGAGATTTGGGGTACCTTAGAAGAGCCTTGGGATGAGAATGAAATGGAAACGTTATCGATGAAAAGTTCGGCTGCAGAACCCAACAACTGGGTTCCTTGCAGAACCCAGAAGTTGGGTTCCCACGAGACCCAATTGTTAGGTTCCACAAACCCAGTCGTTGGATTCCACAAACCCAGCTTTTGCAAATTTGCAAAGGTAAGAAAAAAAAAAGCATGAGGAAGGAGAGGATAAGACAAAAAAAGGGAAGAAGATGAGGGTAAATTAATAATTAAAGATAAAAAATTTAGTCATGTTATCAACTTTTGCCAAATGGATTTTTCCATGTAATTTAAGTAAAGAAAAAAAAAGTTTTTTTTCATTAATTAACCTACCATATCAGTCAAAACTTAATAGAGGAACTAGAAAGTGGTCGGATTTTAAATTTTAAGGACTAAAAAAGAGATTTTTTTAGTATAGGGACTAAAAAGGAGCTTTTGCTTATCGTAGAGGGACCAAAAAGGTGTCTAACCTATTTTATTACAAAACGTGATTTCCCGAGTAGTCTGGAACCAGACAGTCAAAACTACCATTCCCCTCCTAAATCTCTCCAACTAAACAACTTCCATACATTCCATCACCAATGAAGCCGATCATTCCACTCAAAACACCCTTTTCCAAAACTTTCAGAGAAAGCAATCCTTCTTCTTCATAATTACTAGATTTGAAACAGTCGATATGGCACTAATTGTGCGCTGGTACGATTTTATCTGTTTTGGCATTGTTGCGGCTGCTTTCGTTGGCTCCTTGTGGATGCTGTGGAGGAAGGAGGCTTCATCCAGATGCGATGACAACACGGTGTACGAGAGTCTGCTCATGGCTCGCCCGGACACTGATGGGTTCGTGCGTTCCACGCCTTTGGCTCACGTTGGCTCCTCCCAACTGTGGACCAGTTGTTGGAAAGGCGTGCATCCCGGATGGCTTCTGCTGACCCGGTTCGTGTCATGTGTAGCCATGGCCGGATTCCTCTCGTGGGACATCCTAGATTGGGATGCATCTATTTTCCTTTACTACACCGAGTAAGTATATTTCTTCATTTTGTTATCTTCAATTTGTTTTTGCCCTATTTTTAAATTAATAAATATTCATTTCATTTTGGATAAAAAAAATCAAAAGCTTCGACATAAAATCAGAAAAATCAAAATTTTAGGTAATTAGATTAAGAGTTTTTTAAATTATAAAATAAAAATTATTAAATATACCTAAATCTCTTGAAAAAAGAGATTGTCTTGATTTAATAATTTAATTTATACAATTTAGTATAATTTAAGTTCTATATCACTCTTTTTTTTGTTAAATTAATTCCAAGAAAACATGTTAGATTCTAGGGCTGTGTTTTTGTGGAGCTTCAGGTGGAGAACAAACAGTGGTCAACGAAGTAGGAAATTAAAAAAAAAATGTTTTGTTTCGGAAAAAAGGGAAAAATGGAGTACCAATTTGGGCCATTCACGGGCCTCCGTTGACTTCTTATTATAAAGCCCATTAACTGTCTTAACAGAAAACCTTTACACAACCGGAGCGCGGCAGCCTCCGTCGGAGAAAGGAAAATGGGAATTCCGGTTGTTGAATTCCGAAGCACGTGTCTAAATCCCAGAGATGTACTTAAGTTTAGTTCGGTCGGAAAATGTTGGATTCCGACAATGTCGGTTTTGCGTAATGGCTAGATTTTTTTTTTTTGGGTACATGATTATAGTTTATAGAAGATAACCGTCCCCTATCCCCAAATCCCTCCCCACCGACTCAAGGCGCGAATTTTACACCTCCAACTTGGAGTCTCAAGCTCCTATCCATTGAGCCAACCCATTGGGGTTGGGTACTGGCTAGATGGCAAGCAAGTTCCCTTGTTTGCGTTGATCCTATTAATCCCATCTTTGTTAGTTATCAAGTTAAAGCATACCCACTGTGCGTCGATGATTTATGGAAGCCACAGTGGAGAAAGCTCAATCCCCGCTGGTTACCATTTTTCTCAATTTTTTGTTGCCAAGGCATTGGAATCTAAAGGTTAAAACTTTCCCATCTTTTGGGGATTGGGTTTATATTCAATCTTCATTTACTTGCTAATTGTTAGGAATTTAGAAAATAAATGTATCCCTGAATTCTGAATTCTATTTATATTTCATTTTATGTGTTTCTGTATTTTCTTTCATATAGAAATGGATGTCTTCTGATTGGCTGTTCTTGTTGTGAAACTACTCTGTAGGTGGACATTTACATTGGTTATGGTGTATTTTGCGGTATGTCAGTGAAGCATTAGCATCCCATTTCTCATCTTTAATCTTTTACATTTTAAGTAAAGGGTGCTGTTTTGTTTTCTGCAAAGATATTTTGGATTTGTTTTGTAAAACGGATTAAAGTATGTGGTTTTGATCATGCCGAGTTGAACATATTTTTCTTTTAACAGAACCCAACCTTGTTTTTAAAGCAGCTCCTGCTTTACACGTATCCTTTCTCTGTGTAGCTGGGAACCGTTGTATCTGCTTATGGATGTTGGGTGTACTCAAAGGAAACTCCTGAAAATGGTATAAGGGATGCGGAAGAGGGTAGCATGGTAGCCTCTGTGACTTATGGTGAAAAAGAAGTCCGAGGTAAAATTAAGTTACAAAGTCATTATACTGAGGAGGTGATTCAGCAAAGAGCTGGATTTTATGGATATCTTTTGCAAATTGTATATCAGGTTGGTCTGTCAAGATATTGTTCTTTTTCTTTCCATCCCAAATGTTATTTTACAAGATATGTGTACTGAAATTGATTTTTTCACTCAAGTTTTCCTGTCTCACATTTGTTAGTAATGTCTGTTGTTCAATGCCTCACTTAGGGTCCATTGACACTTTAATTTACTGTCTGCATCATGTCTTAAGGCAAAAGCTCGAGGCTTTAACAACTTCTGTTAGTGAGGAATTCTCTATCTTACTGAATCTAATTCATTCTTTATTTTCATTTCATTACAGACTTGTGGAGGTGCTGTTGTAATAACAGACATTGTATTTTGGTGTATTATTGTGCCCTTTTTGTCTGACGCACACGTTGGTCTGAACACGGTGAGATTAAACTTTTTACAGTCAACATTTCATTTTGATAAGATTATCCTCGACCCTTTGGAAGGTTCTAGGAATCTGCTCCACTTTTTTCTTTTTTTGTACAATGCTTGTCAAATTATGAATTGCGTACAATATCATATAAATCACTGGAGTTAACTGTTATTAAGAATCATAACTCTTTTTCTTGAGAATGAAGTTTACACAATATGACATTTTGAAAACTTGAAAAGGTTTGTGTCCCCATTTTGGCAGGCTATCCATGGCCTTAGTCTTCTTTTATGCTTTATTAACCAGCATTCTCCTATGTGACCTACTGCAACAATGCAACTTAAGGATGGTTTTTTAAAGGAAATGAACTGCATCTTGAAATGCTTGTTGAATGATTTATTCTGACCTTGTACTGACTGCTGATGTACGTTGATCTATCAATCATTTCCTCTCCAGTTGTGGATGCTGTGCAGATATATGCTATTTGTTTCTGTCTGAAACTCTAAAATAAGTGGTGGAAGACTTGTACTGTGACCATCATTTGTTTTTTCTTCCTTGCAGTTAATGGGTTGCATGCACACTTTTAATGCATTTTTTCTTCTAGTGGATACCTCCCTCAATAGCATGGTAAGTGCTGAACCATGAAGAAGTTGAAACCTTCTTTAGTAGACTAGACTCTAAGAAAGGGAAACAAGATAAAGAACAAGAGGACATATCTGGATTTCCTAGATATTATCATTTCAATTCTGAGGTTTGGTGATATCACTTCTCAACTTGTTTGTCAGCCATTCCCTTGGTTCCGGATAGCATATTTTGTTCAGTGGAGCTGTTTGTACGTAGTTTTCCAGTGGATAATTCATGCCTGCGGTGTTTCATGGTAAGCTTAGCACATTTCACTGGCCTCTTATAATTTTATTGTTCAATAGCTCTTGACATATTTTGGGCTTCTCTCAGGTGGCCGTACCCTTTCCTGGTGCTTGATTCACCATGGGCACCTCTATGGTATGTTGTTGCCAGCCTGATCCCCATTTTTACCCATCTTCTTTGACCTGGAAATACACATATAAGAAGTTAACAAGATGCATTAATTCATCTTACAGGTACTTTGTCTTGGCTGTCGTTCACATTCCCTGTTACGGTATATATGCACTGATTGTAAAGGCCAAGAATTCAATTTTCCCCAGATGGTTCCCTCAAGCGTTTGTGAGGTCTTACTAAACTGATCTCTTGTACTTAACTCAAAATCCCTTTACTTGGGAAATGGCATTGTTTTTGATTGCATGCTTTGTATACGAGCGAGGGGATGCTCTATAATCCTATGAACTTGGATATTTACGAACATGAAATTGTTCTATCATTTGTACCACAATCGAATCATGTGTTTCACATGTTTCAATATTTGTTGTGTAGTCCAAGTAAATCTCATATGCCCAATATCTCCATTTCTTGTGGATTTATTTTACATTGTAAAGTTAAATAGGAAAATGCTATAAGTATTTAAGCATTGTAACATAAGCAAATCACATTTGTTTCATATATTTGACCTCATCAACAGTAAAAAATGATTTACAATTACATTTCTCTGTCTTAAACTAAAAAAATGAAAGAATCCAAACTTTCTCAACTTATGAAATCAAATACTTATGACAGCAAAAAAATGCGAAGTATTTCTTAATTCACGACACTGCAATGCCTCCGTACTTCACCTTGGGTACCGGTGAGCAAATCAAGGGAACCCATATGCACCATTGCCTTGGCAAACTTCTCAGCCCACAGAGCACCATGTCTCGCATTGTTCACCACCATCCCTGTAGTTAAAGGACTGTTCATCAATGTCTGATCAGAAGTCAGCAATCCGCGGTTGTACTTAAGCTCTTTGTAGTATTTGTTATCCAGCCGGGTAGGTGTTGCAATGTCCAGCGCCACCGTGGAGTCTGCACCGGCCCTGGGGCACTTTGTTTTCAAGAAAGCAGCGTAACTTGGGTCCAAAGATGGGTCTTGAGGAGGAGTGGCGTTGGAGTAGAGGCGTCCGGAGAAGGAAGAGCAGTGAGAAACCCCAATGGAATGTGCCCCGGAAAGTGTTACCATCTGGTCCACAGACATCCCCTTCCTTGCAAAATTCTTGACCAGTTCCGATGCGGTGAGGTTGGGTGAAGGGAGATTCTGGATCACTTCGTCCTCAATTGAAATCCGTCCGTCGCGGCGTCCGGCGGGAACGGCGTAGTATATTCCTCCTGCTTTGTAGGCGCTGTCCCTGGCAGCAAAAGCAATAATGTCGGCGCAGGAGACAGTTCCAGGACAGACGGCCTCAATCTGTTCTTTTGCTTCATCAATTACCTCGAAGCCTCGTAAACTTGGGTTGTTGAC